GATTGAGATTTATTATATTATGTGGTTAACAAACTCATTTTAATTTTAAATATGCATGACAATATTAATAATTCACCTTGCATATTGTATGAATGCATTTATATTCAGATTAATTATGTCTAATTCAGTTTATCTGCTTGCTTACATATTCAATGTAACTGGACCTCATTAATATTGACTGGGAAAGGAGCTTAGATATTTTATTCACAACGTAAGGGTACAAATATATTTACTACTCCTAAACCTAATCCTTTTACTTTAAGATATCCAAGAGAACATTAATGCTTTGAATAAGTGAAATAAGACAAATGAGATGACTTGGTGCAATATTCTAGAGTTTACCTCGAATACGCTCCAAAGCTAACATTTACATTATTTTATTTTCTTCAAGCATCATGTTAAATGTCAATAAGATATTTTAATGAGATTAGATAGAAAGTATGTCAAAGTACTATGTCAGACTTGAATAGCATCAAGATAGCCTAAGGAACTCTAGTATGAAATCAAATTTTGGAAAATGATTGTTTATTATTTAAAAATTAGCTGGAGATCAATAGGGCTGACTTGGGTGGTAAGTTTCAAGTTGACATGATTATTGCCTTGTTACCAAACTCGTTCGACTCTGTTAGAGTGAATTAAATAAGGAATCGGTTTGAGTTCACACTCGCTGATATTCTTATAGAATTGGTAACAGATGAAGGGATAATCAAAAGTATGGGCGTTCTATCAATCTAACCTAGTCTATACCATCTTCTTCTAGGCCCAAGTGGACGGGCAAAGCAAAGAAGAAGGATGATAATAGGACTAGGCTAGCACAAAACATGGCTATCCAAAAGGTTAAAGGGAATAAGGCAGTGTATGTTGAGAGCAAATGAAATTGTTTCTTTTGCTGCTAACGAAAACACTAAAGGACGAACTGTCTAAGCAATGACGTGGTATAGGTAAATATATATTTAATCATTGAGCCATGTTATGTGGTTGTATCTATTAATTCCTGATGGATAGATTCTGGAGCCATTAAACATTTTTGCAATTCGTTGCAAGGATTTCAGGAATCCAGAAGCCTCAATGATATGGAATATATTTGTATTTGACCTGATATCAAGGTTGTAGCTAAGTCAGTGGGAGTATTACATCTGAAATTAAAAAGTATGAGGATATTAGTATTAGAGAACTATCTTTATGCACAGAAGTTAGACGCTATCTTATTCTTGTTTCACTTGTGGTTTATAAAAACTGTGTTGTTATTTTCTAAAACTGGTTTTATAAATTTGAATAGATATGCGATTGCTTCTGGTGCATTGAAAGATGGTTAATATACTATAATCACAAACTCTTAAGATTTGCAGGAAGTAGAAACTAAAGTTGCATCTTCTAGATTGAATGTTAAGAGAAAATTTGTTATTCCTGACTCATTGTATTTTTAATATCTATTTTTGGGTTGTTATCAATCAAAATGAGATTCAAAGATTGGTCAAAGAAGGTTTATTACCTAGTGAGGCAGAGGAGCCTAAACCAAACTTGTGAACCCTGTTTTGAAGGATAGATAACTCTAAGGGCTTAATCAGCTAGATGAAATAGACATAAAGGACAATGGGAGTCGGTACACACGAACACGTGTGGTCTTGTGAACATCCAAGCAAGATTACTCACGTTTTGGATAGATTTACCTGTTGCGACACAAGTCTTATACTTTTGCTATATTCCGAGAGGGTCAAGACTGATGTGGAGCACAGATTAGGTAAACTTATCAAGACACTTCGATCTGATCGAGGATATGAGTATTTCTTGGGATAGTGCAAAGACTATATGGTCAATGAGGGTGTTGTGTACCAGTTTTCTGCAATTGACGCTAAATGCATTTAGGTGTCAAATAGGAATAACAGAATTCCACTTAACATGGTTAGATTTATGATCAGTTATGCTATATTATCTCTTTCATTTAAGAGTTTAGCGTTAATTACATCGATGCGCATTATGAACTGCATTCCATCTTAGTCTGTCTCAAGGATACCGTTGAGTTGTGTTTTTGACTAAATCTTAGTTTGAATCACATGCACATATTGGGTAATCTTGCACATGTGCGCTTGATATGGACAAGTAAGTTGGAAACAGATCATACGCATGATAGATTTGATAGCTACTCTAAAAGTCACTAGAATGGATTATTTTATGATCTCAATGATAAAAGTTGATTGTTTACACTCACTGTTTATCTATAGGAGGATCATATTATGAATTACATACCTAGTAGCATAATGTTAGAGAATATGGTATGAGTACCAGATGTACCACATGTGAATATACTTATTATAGATATTGAGAATAATAAATGAATTCCCTATTGATGCGTTAGCATCATCTACTACACAGATTCTTGCATCGATACATTGATGTAGTGGGAGGATTATCATCCAATCCGACAGAATCATGTTTTTAGGTGAGACCATTATGGACATCCCTGTTAAACATGAGTTGGACCCAGTAAGCTATACGGAAGCGTGAACCGATATGGATACAGATCGTTTTGGCGAGTTACTATGATATCAGAGTTGGAATCTATGTATTCTAATAAATTCTGGAATCTTATAGAACTTTCTAGTAGGGTGATTCCTATGGAAGGCAAGTTAATCTACAAAAAGATACCAGAAGATTTCTTAGTGAATAAATCATGAGTGTACAAGGGAATGTCATTATTTTTTTGATTCTATATATATTGATGACATCCTACTCATTTAGAATGATATGGAAGTTTTGTCATCAATAAAGAGGTAGTTGTTCAATTACTTTTAAATGAAGGATTTTCAAGATGTAAGCTATATTCCTAGGATCAAGCTTTTGCAAGATCAGGTTAAAAGGAAAATAGGTTTATCTTAATAATCCTACATTGATAAAGTTTTGACCAGGTTTGGTATGTATAACTCAAAGAATGAGTTCTTGCTTTATTTATATGGATTGCTCTCTCTAGTAAGTAGTTTTCCAAGACTAGCAGAGGAGATTGAGCAAATGAGACTGAAACTATATGCTTTGGCATATGGGAGTCTCATATATGCCATGGTCTATACCAAACAGGACATCCGCTACATAGTAGGGATAGTCAGTAGATATCAGTCCAATTCTGGACTTGATAACTAGTCTGTTGTGAAAAATATCATTAAGTACATAAAGAGAACCAATGATCTCATACTCATTTATGGATGTAATGATAGGGTCCTAGTCAAGTATGCTAGTTCTGATTTTTAATCAGAAGTAAATACTATGAGGTTCATGACTTAGTGCATGTTCACTTAATGGAAGGGAAATCAGTTGGTAGATTGTTAAGCAGATTTCAACTGCTGACTCAAACCTACAGGTGGAATATATTGTAGCATTAAGGCGGCAAAGGAAGCCTATTGGTTTGATCTCACTGATTTAAAGGTTGTGGAGTATACTAACCTGCCTATTGAGCTATGTTGTGACAATAGTGCAGAAGTAGTCTAAACCAATGACCCAAGGTTCTATAAAGGAACAAGATACACTGAGAGGAAGTATCATGTTCTACATGATATTGTCCGGCAAGAAAATGTACTTGTAGTTAGAACATTGCATTGGAACACAACTTTGTTGATCCATTATCAAAGGTATCATCGATCAATAGTTTTGATCAACACCTGGATAACATTGGAGTTAGATGCATTTTGAATTGGCTATGAGGGCAAGTGGGAGCTGTTGGGATTTATATGCCCTGGCATAGCAAATTCCTATCTAGATTATAGTGACATATGTTCCTGACATATCTGAAATATTTATGATTTATATAATTGGTGAATTCAATGTATTATGTTTCGATTCACTATGAAATTGATAGTGTCCCTGTGATTACGAGAAATATTTATATATATGTATGTGATGGCAATCAATGCATGATATATAAATAGTAATTATAAATTGTTCATAGTCGGTAATTATGAATGGACTCATAATTAATTAAGACTTGAACTGGATCCGCGTTAGGTTGAGATATATTGCGAGAGCCGTCGTATGCAATTGCTCCCTATCACCGTCATAGCATTTGACTCTTAAGCATGAAAAAATTATAGACTCTTTTATTAATTAATAATTACTTTGATTTGTTCGGCGGATTCTTCAGAATCCTTAGACCGACACTTTGGGTAGTTATGTAATTAATAGTTAGAGGGTTACATTTTCAATATTTGCATCATTGTTACTTGTATTTATTTTGTATTGATTATGGTTGATCACAAAGTAAATTCGAAGGCCTTCGTATGTTTTTAGACAAAATGATTTATTATATATTTATTTATTTAAATTATTATTTTTGTCAAACAAATGTTTTATTGTGATCGAGCCAGAAATAATCAATGGTACCAAAATAAATATATTAATTAAGTAGTCGGATTGATGGCTTTATTCATCCGATAACTAATTATGCATAGAGGGGTCAAAGTGCAATATTGACTTAGTGGTTATTTATTATTTAATTGGAGTTCAATTAATTTCTTTTAGTGGAGTAGAAATTAATTTATGAATTAATTTAATTGGGTCCATGGACCGGGTCAATTATTAATTCATTGTAGCCAATAAAAATAATAAGCCCAAAATTCTCACTCATAGCCCAACTTGATATTGGAATCATATTAGATTTGAGATATGTGAATTAGAGATTGAGAAGGATTTATAGTTTCCTTTTCCTTATTTTTATGTTGCCTATATATATACATGGTCTATGTATATTTTGGGGGGATGATTTTTAGTAGAAGGAAAAAGGAATATATTTTCTCTCTCTAGAAAATTAGGGTTTATGTTGGAGGCTCCCACAAGCCTAGTTTTCCAAGGTCATTCATGGAGGCATATGAGTGATTCCTAAAGGCAAAATAATTACCAAGAAGATGGAGATCCAAAAAGAATGCATTTTGTTAAGGGATCTACAATAAGTAAGAACATTCACTTTAGAAGAGAGATATAAGGTTTACTCAAACCTTGATATAAGTATTCAATCTTTTAATTGAATGATACATCATGTTTTATTTTTGCATAAAACTTGTCTCTATGTGATGAATTAAGATCTATGAATCAAAATCTCTCGAAATTTTTTTAAAATTTGCACGTTTCCCAACAGGAACTCCCAAAAAACCAACCCACCAACCTACTTATAATAAAAGAAAAAGAAAAAGACAAAGAAAAAGAAGAACTGCCAAAAATCAACCCACCAGCCTACTGACGCTATTAGAAAAAGAAAAAAGAAGAGGAAGAAGAACAAGAATGCCTCTAGCAAAATTTCTCAATATGAGAGAGCCAATCCAAGTACTATACAACCAGAAATACTACAATCCCTCCTAAGAAAAAGCTGGGTTAACTCACAAAAGAAAATGGAACCAGATGCATTCTTGAAGTGCTTCACCTTTTAAGGAAAGAAACGATCAGTTTGGCATCTTCTAGGGAGGTTAGGTTAGAAATTGCCATCTACCATACTTCAAGTTCGTTAGCAGCTTTAGGTTAAATATGACATACAACAATGCACAACATTAGAAATTGAAGCAGTTCAAGGATACAAAGAAGAACCTTCTCAATAAAGCAGTGGAAAAAAATGCCAGCTTCCGATTTAGTAATGGTATATCCCTCATTCCTCAGCATATCAAAATGTTCATGAATAAATTCCAGCCCCTGGTTTAAGAGGGGAAAAGGAAACAAATTTTAATCACAATGAACAAATTTTCTTAACAGCCACCTGGAATACACAAAAATGAATATATCAATAAGAAAATACTTCACCTTCAATAGGCATGATGAATTAGATTTGTAGAATCGCAAACCAAGCCATAAAAAACACCTAGAACTTCAATTAGTTCCTTTCCAAAGAATGGAAGTGCCGGGAAAGCCAACATAAACTACAATTATATAACCAATCACATATTCTAAGCATTTTGAAACCAACGCACTGTTTCTGGTCCACAAACTCTTAAAATTTCACCAATGCAAGTTTTTGCACCCTTGCAAACATCCACTGATTTATCCTATAGGGGAACCAACAAACCATAAAATTTTCATAAAATCAAAAAATGAATATTGCTTTCAATTTATTTTGCAAACAAATTCTAGTATTGCTCTAGTATATACTGTCGTAGCAGAGGCAACTGGTTTTAGCAAATGTGAAGCATCAGAAAAATCACTTGATCCAGTAAGTGGCCTCGATACCCAATGAAAAAGATCCGTATGATCTTTCACAGCAAGTATTGCATCTGTTAAAGCAGCAGCAACACAGGTAACCTAAAATGGACATAGAATTGTCATAATATTAGACAAGCTTGAATATAATGCACAACAATACAACCACAATAACTGCAAACCCTTTTTAGAAAAAGGTCGGTCAACTAACATAAAAAAATGGAACTAGATGCATTCTTAAAGAAAATACACCGTCTTTTAAAGAAAGAACTGATCGGTTTGACATCTTCTAGGAAAGTTAAGATAACAACTGACAGCTACCATACTTCATATTGGTTAGCAGGTTTGGGTCAAACATGACCAACCACAATGCAGCATCAGAAACTACACAGGTGATGGGACTAATTGAAGTAGTTCAGGGCTACAAAAAGAACCTTCTCAATCAAGCAGCATTAGAAACTGCACAGCTGATGGGACTAATTGGAAAAATTTAGGGCTACAGAAAAAAAAAACCTTATCAATCAAGCAGGGGAAAAAATTGACAATCTCCGATTCAGTAATGGTGTATCCCTCATTCCTCAACGTACAAAAAAGATCAGGAAGGAATTCCAGCACCCATTTTTGAAGGGGAAAAAATACTAAATTTAATCACAACCAACAAATTTTTTTTTACCAGCCACCTGATATAAGCAAAACTGAAATATATATAAGAAAATACTTCACCTTCGCTAGGCCTGATGAGTTAGATTCACAGAATCGCACACCAAACCATCTTAGAAGAACATCTAGAACTTCAATTAGTTCCTTTCCTGTTGACCATAACCCTATCCATTGCTTCTTACACAATCCTCTCAGATTCAGCATCAAGAGCACTCGTTGCTTCATTTAGAAGTAGAATTTGGGGGTCCTTTAGAATTGCTCTGGCTAGGGCAACTCGTTGCTTCCATCCACCAAACAGCTGAATTCCATGCTCAACCACCATGGTGTGGTGTACCTAAATTAAAATTTTAAATTCAAAGGCAAATTAAAATTCATATTTTCAAGTAACTGAAGAAAGAGAAATGCTGAAAGAGTGACTAAATGGGCGAGCAAGAACCTGAGGTACTTTATCAATGAATATGGAATAATTTACTACCTCAGCTGCAGCTCGAATATCCTCAATTGTTGTCACTCTTGTGGGCTACAAGTATGCTCCATCAGGATCCTTGAGTAGTTCCAAATATTATGCTTTCCTTCCGAGTACAACTCACTTTTTCTAAGGAGTAACCCAAAATATAAATAAATTGACATTAGCTAAATTTTAAAACACAAACAATTAGAATGAAAGTTGTAAAAGAAAAGAGAAACCACAAAGTTAATGCAGTTATATTATCGCACCATTAATAATTGCAGATATGGCTCCTGCTATCAAAACCGGAACCTCTGGTTTGTAGAGATAGGCAAGGAGGCGCAGTGGAACTTCTAGACGCTGTTCTGACAGTTGTGATAGGTGGCCACGAGGTTTTCTTAATGCAGTTTCAGAAACACTCGGTCTAGCTGATGCTGGTAGACCAAATGAGACAGAGACGAGTTGCAAACTCACTAGAACTGAGTGACACTTGCATCGATTGATTTGATTTCAAGGGTTGATCGATGAAGCCTTGCTATGGCTTCGAGCGACATACCTAAAAACGCCCTAAATAACTTTTTTTTTTTTGCAATTTTATGCCCTCATAGACCCTACATGATCTCTCATATGATCAAATAAATAAATAAAGACACAAATAAACAAAATTATAAAGAAATCTATTTTTGTCATTTTTCAATTTTGTGATGATATGCAAAGACACACATATATAAATATATAAATCTAAACATGCCAAGGTTTTCGAAGTGTCAATAAATCATCAATCAAATTGAACATTATTTGGACCCACAAATTTTTATTCTATTATCTTTATAAACATAAAAATTCTCATAATTAGGTTTAAAGATTTCTAGTCCATTTATAAATCAATAGTAGTCAACTTAGTCCATTATACGTGCATTAGAAATAAACTCAACACAAATATAATCAGTTTCAAATTTGTGTTCAAAAACAAAAATAAATTTCACACAAAAGATTCAAAGATTTCAAAAGCATGCGAATTTTCGCTCTTTTCTTTTTCTTTTTGAAACCTCTCTTGTTTTTTTTCTTTTATGTTTCTATGACGGCTTTCACTCTAATGAGCAGAGAGCTATTTTCCCTAATTTCAACTATTTTTCGAGTCAATGAAGCTTTCGGTCTGATCTCACTAGGTAGCCTGAAGGTTTTTTAAGATGAAAAATAATCAGTCTTCATATCTTTCAAGAGAGACAATTACAAGATAAATAGTAGAGGAAAGCCACCAAATCAGGAAGCCCACAAAATCAGCAAATCAAATCAGCAAATCTCTAGGCTAGAAAATAGGAAACGGAAACTACTAAAATCTGAAATAGTAATTTCAGATTTTATTTGCAAAAATAGAATTTCCGAATTTATTTCCCAGAAATCCGACACCCCCATCAAGTTGGAGCATAGATATCGACTATTTGTTGAGTAGTAGGAACAAAAGGCATGCAAATAGCTCCATTATCAATCTTTTCTTTTTTGAAGTGTGTGTCAATCTTCACATGCTTCATGCAATTATGTTGTACTAGATTTTGTGCAATACTTATGGCAGCTTTGTTGTCACAATACAACTTCATTGGCATGTAAATCGGCATCCGCAGCTCGTCAAGAATTCTCTTCAACCATAGTATCTCACAAACTCCATTAGCCATAGCCCTATATTCTGCCTCGTCACTGCTCCTTGCAACCATATTCTGTTTCTTGCTTCGCCATGTGACCAGATTTCCCTAAACATAAGTACAATATCTTGACATGGATCTCCTACCAATAACTGAGCCTGCCCAATCTGCATTAGTGTATGCCTCTATATTCTGCTGTTGCCTAGTGTACTTTTCAAATATCTGAGAATCCGATAAACTGCTTCAAGATGTTTCTTGTAGGGTGAATGCATAAACTGGCTTACCAAACTCACAGCAAAAGCAATATCGGGCCGCGTATGTGATAGGTAAATTAACTTTCCCACCAACTTTTGATACCGAGTTGTATTCACTTGACCACCTTCCTTGTCACCTCCAAGTTTCTGATTGGGATCGATTGGAGTGTCTGCTGGCCTACAACCGCTCATCCCAGTCTCCTTAAGGTCAAGGATATACTTCCGTTGGGAGACAACAATCCATTTCTTCGACCGAGCAACCTCCATTCCAAGGAAATACCTCAGAGATCCTAAGTCCTTAATCTCAAATGTTACTGAGAGGGAAGTCTTCAATCGGTTCATCTCAAGTACGAGAATTATATTGTCAACATACACAATCAATATCGCTATCTTCCTATCCTGTAAATGTCTTATAAACATCGTATGATTACATTGCCCTTGAGTATACCCCTGGCTTTTAACAAACTGAGTGAATTTCTCAAACCAAGTTCTTGGTGACTGTTTCAACCCATATAAGGACTTCTTCAGTTTACACACCTTTGTGCCAAACTTTTCACCAAATCTTGGAGATGCATCCATGTACACTTCTTCCTCCAGGTCTACATTGAGGAATGCATTTTTTACGTCCAACTGTTCCAGAGGCCAGTCATAATTAGCTGCAAGTGACAAAAGAACTCTTACAGAGTTTAGCTTCGCGACTAGGGCGAATGTCTCCAAGTAATCAATGCCATAGATCTGAGTGAATCCCTTGGCAACCAATCGAGCTTTATACTGTTTTAGAAAGCCATCAGATTTATACCTGACTGTAAACACCCATTTGCACCCTACAATTGTCTTTCCTCATGGTAGATCAACTAATTCCCATGTGTCATTTTTTTCAAGAGCTTTCATCTCCTCAAAGACAGCCTCCTTCCACTCAGGAACTTTCAGAGCATCCTGCATAGTATTAGGAATCTCTCCATACAAGACAATTGTGAGGTAAAAGCACGAAAAACAGGTGAGATGTTCATATGACACATAATTAGATAATGGTTGCTGGGTGCAAGACCTCACACCCTTCCGGACAACAATGGGAAGTTTAGAATCATCGAACTCAGGATTGGAATTAGACTCGGGTTCAGAACTAGAGGACTAAGAACTAGAAGATGAAATGGGCTAAACATAAGGTAAAGGCTCAGTGAGGACATTACCTGAAGGGTTTACGGAATCTGGGCAATGCAAAGGATTGGAGACCCTTTCTCTCGAGTTGTCCTCTGTCGCGAGAAGACAATGTCAAATGGTACCAACGCTGTGTTTCTTTTTCTTGTTTCTCCTTTGTTAGTCGTTATAGGATCATAAACATCATAAGATGGCACTGTAGGAAGCCTGCCTTTTCAGTATCTAAAAAACTCAACTCACTTTCTCCTGGTATCATAAAGCTTGGGTTTCAAGTTAAATAATCAAAGTTGGAGAAGGATCATTTTGCGAGTCTTCAGTTTGGAAAAAATCATGAAAAATAGCCGAATCTTTGTTTTGGTTTCCCCCCTGAAGATGAGGCGTGAAATAGGGATGTAATTTTAAAAAGATAACATCCATGGTAACAAACATTTTTTTGGAAATGGGTTCAAAACATTTATACCCCATTTGAGTGGGAGCACAACCAACAAACACACATTTTGTGGCTCGGGGTTTAAGTTTTCCTCGATTAGGACTGAATATGAACAAATACGGTACAACCAAATATCTTTAGTGGTAAAGAAGAAGAAAGCCGATTTGTTGGATAAAACTTATGAAAAATATCAAAAGGTGTTTCAAAGCTTAAAACCTTATTAGGCGTTCGATTTATGAGATATGTAGCAGTAAGAAGGGCTTCAGCCCAAAGATATTTAGCTACCTGATTGGTAAAAAGCAATGCCAGAGCTACTTCCAATAAGTGTTTGTTTTTTCTTTCAACCAATCCATTTTGTTGAGGAGTGTCGACACAAGAGCTTTGATGAATAATTCTATTTTCAAGAAAAAATTGGCCCAAATGTTTTTGAAATATTCTCGACCATTATCACTCCGCAGTATTTGAATATTTTTTTGAAATTGTGTTTGTACCATGGTGTAAAATTTTTTGAAAAATTGTTCCCACTTCAGATTTTTCCTTCATCAAATAAACCGAACTAAATCTCGTGTGATCATCAATAAAGGTCACAAACCATTTTTTACCAAAATACGTAGATGTTCTACATGGCCCAGATATCACTATGAATCACAGTAAATGGTGTAGTTGGTTTGTAGGGCTGGGTGGGGAGATGCACGATGATGTTTAGCAAACTAACAAACATCACATTAGAAGGCAGATGGATTTTTATTCCGAAATAAATTGGGAAACAAGTATTTTAAATACTGAAAACTAAGATGGCCTAACCTATAATGCCATAACATAATATCATTATCTTTGGAAACGGAAACAGAATTTAAGCAAGTACTTTGACATCGTCTACTCGAGTCAGGTCCATCATCAAAATAATAGAGTCCATCTTTTTCCTTAGCACTGCCAATCATCCTCCCTGTGGTCAATTCCTGAAACTCACAATAAGAAGAATAGAAATTAGTTACTTATCAAAAAAAAAAAAAGTAGAAATTAGCTTGACACTAATGATCAAAGGTAATTTTACTGATGGACAACAAATTGCAAGACAAATAGGGAACGTGGAGGGTTAACAACGGAGTGAGTTTGATAGTTCCTATCTCAGCAATTACCGAGAGTGAACCATCTGCAATTTTGACCTTTTTATTGCCTGCATACGGACTATAAGATGAGAACAATTTGGAGCAACCGGTTATATGATTGATCAGTTGCGCTTGAATCAATTATCCAAGAATGAACAGGGTAAGGAATAACACCAAAAAATGCAGTAGCAAGAGAATTACCCTTCTATACCAAAGAACAAGACGGATTTAAGGATAGTTTTGGAGATTGAAACAACTTGTACAGGTGCTCTAATTGCTCCTTGGTAAAAGAGACTGCATCCGAATTGGTAGAAGGCTCCTGAGTCTCTTCAGCAGTGGCTTGGTAGGCGCGACCGTCACGTTTGGATTTTGGCTTCCAATTTACTGGTTTACCATGAAGCTTCCAACACGTGTCCTTCGTATGCCGCGATTTTTTGCAATGCTAGCACCACGGTTTCTTACGGCCATCGTTGTCAGAATTAACACCTCTTGACACAAGAGTAGAGCTTTCAGGTTCCAGGTTGGAACCAGGTTCAATGTTGCGCAGTATGATTTTTCTCCTTGACTTCTCACGTCTAACTTCAGAAAAAACTTCCCGAATAGAAGGCAATGGCTTTCTGCCGAGAATGCGGCCTCGAACCTCGTCCAAACTCCGATCAAGGCCGACTAAAAACATGTAAACCTTGTCGTTTCCTCTCTATTCTTGTGGCGAGCGTAGTCTTTCGAATTCTCCTAAACATCATCATAACACTGATCAAGTTCCTGCCATAACGTTACCAATTCGTTATAATGAGAAGTAACATCACGATCATTCTGCATAGATTTCCAAAGTCGAGTTTTCAACTCAAATATTTGAGAAGAATTCTCCATGTCCGAATAAAGATCTCAAACGGCCTCCCAGACATCTTGAGCAATGAGTATAAATAGGTGAGGTTTTCCAATGGCAGGTTCCATGTAATTGATGTGCCAAGCAATAACAAGAGAATTTTCGGACTGCCATTTTTTTCATATTAGGGTCACCAGCAGCAGGTTTCGATATTTTGCCAGTCAATTGCCCAATTTTGCCTCTGCCATCTATCACCAATTTTACGAACTGAGCCCACTCAAGATAGTTGTGCCCATTGAGTTTTGTAACCGTGAGATAAAGGGCTGAATTCTGGGAACAGTAATCGGCAGATACAGGTGTGGGATTGGGCAGAATATTCGTGGGAGGAATAGTGGGATTGGGCGGAATGGTTTCGGAAGTACGGGAAGAGACGGTAAGATTTCTTTGGGAGGCGGTCATCGTTGACTTATAAGACATCATTAGAAAAAAAAAATAAAAAATAAAAAGCACAAGTCTCTGATACCATGAAGGTTTTTTAAGAAGAAAAATAACCAATCTTCATATCTTTCAAGAGAGACGATTACAAGATAAATAATAGAGGAAGGCCACCAAATCAGGAAGCCCACAAAATCTGCAAATCAAATCAGCAAATCTCTAGGCTAGAAAACAGGAAACGGAAACTACTAAAATCTGAAATAGTAATTTCAGATTTTATTTGCAAAAATAGAATTTCCTAATTTATTTCCTAGAAATCCGACATTTTTCATACGAAACTTTTTGCAGCCATCTCATTAGAGATTTTTCGTTTCTTTTCAACTGCAAAAACACGATTTTTTTTTTTCTTTTTGCTTTTGCACCTCACATTTTTTTTTCAAATGCCATCATCTTATATTACCTTAAGATGTTACTTATTATTGGAGTCTAAGTTCACAACTTTGAAGAAAGATTATATAAATGTGAGTTAGTGTGTGTCTGAATAATTTCACAAGTTTCTTACTATAAAGAAATAAATAAACCGAAATTTTTACTATAAATTATTCAAACTTCTATGTTTAATTAGAATCAATTTCAAAATTGTGTTCCCAAACTTTTATCTTTTTAATTGACTCTTGATTAAACAATTCAAAGTTTATGGCATGTATTTCTAGACACGAATACGTAAATAAATTAAACAAATATACATGATAAGTATGCATAAATTATCATACTAGGGAACTGCCAAAAAACCAACCGACAACCCTACTGATACTAAAAGAAAAAGAAAAAAAGAAGAAACGCCAAAAACAAACCCACCAGCCTACTAACACTATTAAAAAAAAAAACAGAAAAAAGAAGAAGAAGAATACCTCTAGCAAAATTTCTCAATATGAGAGAGCCAATCCAAGTAATATACAACCAGAGAAATACTACAATCCCTCCTAAGAAAAAGCTGGGTTAACTCACAAAAGAAAATGGAACCGGATGCATTCTTAAAATTCTTCACCTTTTAAGGAAAGAAAAGATCAGTTTGGCATCGTCTAGGGAGGTTAGGCTAAAAACTGTTAGCTACCATACTTCAAGTTGGTTAGCAGCTTTGGGTCAAATATGACATACAACAATGCACAACATTAGAAATTGAATCAGTTCGGATACAAAGAAGAACCTTCTCAATAAAGCAGTGGAAAAAAATGCCAGCCTCCGATTCAGTAATGGTGTATCCCTCATTCCTCAGCGTATCAAAAAGTTCATGAAGAAATTCTAGCACCAAATTTTAGAGGGGAAAAGGAAACAAATTTTAATCACAATCAACAAATTTTCTTAACGGCCACCTGAAATAAGCAAAATTGAAATATATCAATAAGAAAATACTTCACCTTCAATAGGCATGACGTGTTGGATTTGTAGAATCGCAAACCAAGCCATCTTAGAAGAAACACCTTGAACTTCAATTAGTTCCTTTCCAAAGAATGGAAGTGCCGGGAAAGCCAACATAAACTACAATTATATGACCAATCACATATTCTGAGCATTTTGAAGCCAATGCACTGTTTCTGGTCTGCAAACTCTTAAAATTTCACCAATGCAAGCTTTTTCACCCTTGCAAACTTCTGCTGATTTATCCTATGGGGGAACCAACAAACCATAAAATTTCCATAAAATAAAAAAATGAATATTGCTTTCAATTTATTTTGGAAAAATATTCTAGTATTGCTCTAGCATATACCGTCATAGTACAGGCAGCTGGTTTAAGCAAATGTGAAGCATCAGAAAAATCACTTAATCCGTAAGTTGCCTCAATACCCAATAAAAAAGATTCTTAAGCTCTTTCACAGCGAATCTGTTAAAGCAGCAGCAACAACATTAACCTAAAATGGACATAGAATTGTCATAATCTTAGACAAGCATGACTATAATGCACAAAATACAACCACATTTACTACAATTCCTTTTAAGAAAAAGGTCAGACAACTAACATAAGAAAATCGAACAAGATGTATTCTTAAAGAAACTACTTCGCCTTTTAAAGAAAGAACTGATCGGTTTGACATCTTCTAGGAAGGTTAGGATAACAGCTACCAGCTACCATACTTCAAATTCGTTAGCAGGATTGAGTCAAACATGACCAACCACAATGCAGCATTAGAAATGGCACAGGTGACAGGACTAATTGAAGTAGTTCAGGACTACAAAAAGAACCTTCTCAATCAAGCACAGGAAAAAAATGGCAACCTCCAATTCACTAATGGTTATCCCTCATTCCACAGCGTATCAAATAGTTCAAGAAGGAATTTCAGCACCTGTATTTGAAGAGGAGGGGGGGGGGGGGGGGGGAGTGACTAAAATTAATCACAACCAACAAGTTTTCCTACCAGCCACCTGAAATAAGCAAAACTGAAATATATCAATAAGAAAATACATCACCTTCAATGGGCACGATGACTTAGATTCCCATAATCGCAAACCAAACAATCTTAGAAGAACATCTAGAACTTCAACTAGTTCCTTTCCAATGGATAAAAGTGACTGGAAAGCCAACACAAACTAAAATTATATAACCAATCACATATTTTGAGAAAGTCCAAGTAACCACAAATGTGACAATGAAAGCACCTTCTGCAGCATCTCAATACCATCAACTTGCTTCTTGAAGCTTGTGCTAAGAAGCCTCCTATGCAGATCTTCTCTGAAATACTTCAAAAGACCATTCTGTAGCATAAACAATCGTTCGGTCAAATTCAAAAGGAAATGATAGAAAAGCAAAAAATATTCATGACCGTAAATGAACACAAACCTCAAGTTCTTGAATTTGCTCTAACCGTGGCTCTTAGAATTTAGACCTTTGGATAACCATTCTGTTTGTAATATCCGGCACATCGGTCCTAGTGACGGTTGCAGCCGTTCAAGAGCAACAGCCAAGGCAGGTCCACATATATCTTTCAAATTTTTGGTCACCTAGAAAAATGATAATTATTGTTGGAAATCATATCTATAAGTTGACTTAATGATTGTGGTAGATTTATTGGGTCTTCATTATAAGCTAATGTTTAGGCTTTTGTTTCCTTATTCTCTTTCCATATCTGTAATTTTCCTCTTATATATAATGATAGTTAAGCTCTTAAATTGAGTACGCCAATTTTACCAAATTACTTTTTGGTATTAGAGCCTAAAACCTACACCTCCCCTCTCTCTCTTTCACTGCCACTTTTCATCTCTCTCTCTATCTCGTCACAGCCCCTTCCCCCTTTCTTTTTTTCTTTTCTTCACAGACCCTCTCTTTTCTTCAGGCCATTGTTGCGACAGTCCTAGGGGTAGCCAATCTCCTCTAGGTTCAACCCCTGTAGGGGTATTCCCTTAACCTTTTTCATGCACTAAGGGTCAGAAGACGTTTATGCAATTTTTGGGGGCTGCCGGGATATTCGGCATCATTTTCGGATCGGGCCGCCATGTCTCCGGCTTCTTGGTTTTATCAAAATCAGGTTTATTCCTCCTTTATTTGAAATTATTAGTGATTTGTTGAATTATTCTATTTAATATTATGACTGATTCAAGTAATAATAAAGAAACTCTCTATTCGGTGCAACACACGATGGCTCAACAAGTTACTAATTTGCTGTTGAATGGCTATAATTTTGCATCCGTGGTTCGTTCCCTCCGCCTTTATGTTAGTGAAAAAGGCAAATCAAGGTGGTTTTTGGGCACTAAAAAGACGCCAGATATTAAAGATCCTAAAGACTAGTTTGGTGTGGTGGAATGGAATATAGAGAAAGTGGAATGGAATGGTTTTTATTCCATTCTTGTGTTTGGTGCCCAATTTTAAACTTGGAATTGTCATTCTCCACCATTCCTGGAGAATAGTCATTCCATCAAAATCATTCCACCTTCTCACAAAAGGAATGACCATTCCATTCCTACTTTAAAAAAATACAAACTAAAAAAGATATTAAAAAATAAAACCTAACAAATTACAAACCTACGCCGGCATCATCATCTCCTCTATCAAACCCACCGCCGGCATCATCATCTCCTCCATCGACGGTGAAACATACAAGAACACACAACCCAATCCAACCCATTGTCTAACAAACATAATATTGACCTTGAACTTCAAAGTGATGGACCAAGACACAACAAAAAATCAGAAGTAGATCTGAGTTAAGTAAACAGTGAACATGACCCAAAAGCACTTGGGAAGAGGGTCGGTTGGTCTCCGTTGTGGAGCTTCACCGTCGGCAAACACTGCAACTTCACTTGGGAAGAGGGTCGTTTAGTCGCCGCGGGGGGGTGACCCATTCTAGATCAAGGACAATCAATCTTCATAGATATCGTGCCAGTGCTTAAATTGACGAAGACGGTCAACGGTTGCTCCCGGCATGACCAGATTCCTCCTTTTGTGCTGAACGGGACAATGGCCAATATAACGAATTCGATCGAGGCAAACAATAAGGAAAGAAACAGTGACTCATATGGCTTTCTTATTTGTGGATGCAGCAGAGGCGACCTTAGAACGGAAACGCCCAACCCGGAACGGAAGGCTTGGCTGGAAACTACAGACACCGCTGCCCAGTTTCTTTCTTCTCTATACTTTCTCTCTCTATCTCTTGCCCCAATTTCCTTCTTACAGACCTCTTTCTAACCATTGGATTGGAAAAAATTTGATGTTAATTTTTTAGTTAATTTTTTTATTAATGATAAAGGTAATTTGGAGAAAACAATATAAATGGCGATAAAGGTAAAACAATATAAATTCATTCCATTTTAATTTTTAGTCTAATCAAACAAATAAATGGAAATCATCATTTTATTTTTAACATTCCATGTTTGCAACCAAACAAGAGAATAGAAATCATCATTCCCATTCCATTCTATTCCTAGCTTCATTCCCATTCCATTCTATTTCATTCTTGCACACCAAACTAGCCCTAAATATACTCAATGAGATATGGACAATTGCACCATTTTAGGATGGATGTTTAATTCTAAGAATGATGCTCGTATTTTTAAGTTATACCAAGATATTGGTAAGGCCTCACTGGAAGGCCTGAATTTGTATGTAGCTGATTACTTTGGGTATTTGAGATCTCTTTGGGAGGAACTGGCTCAATACGAGACTCTCAGTGAATTTACTCCCGAGGCAGGCTCTCTTCTTGTCAAACGTCTTGATCATCAGCATACCTATCGGTTTTTTATGGGATTACGCCCAGAATTTGAACCACTTAATTCTCAGATCTTGAATGTATCACCAATGCCATTCCTGTTGGAAGCCTTTGCTACTGTTGATGGTGAAGAATGCAAGCACCGTTTAATTCAACCCTCACTTGTTCCTCTTCCAGTGTCGCCTGTTCGGGATAGTATAGCTTTTGCAGCCAACTTTGGATCATGTACTTCTGGAAGTCAGATTGTTTGTCACCATTGTGGAGGGGTTGGACATGTTAAGACTCACTGCTTCAAACTTCATCCTGAAATGAAGCAGAAATTTTTTACGAACCGTTTATCTGGAAGTGGTTCTTCTCGTACTGTTGTTGTTGCAAAGACTCCTGCTACTATTGGTGGATCTACTGTATTTTCTAGACTGAGCCAACTTCAGTCTTAAATTGGGCAAATCCAGGACCAACCTGGCTCCCTTGCTTCTAAAGTTGATGCTCTTTCAGCTGCTCCCACTGCCACTATTGCTACAGGTACTCCTACTGCATTTCATGTTAAGGCCAAGCAGCCTACTTAGGTTCTAGATTTTGAGGCCAATGATCACATAACTGGTGAGTTATCAATTTTTTCTTCCAATGTCATACTTGTTACCCAATCTGTGTATCTTGCGAATGGATCTACATCTTACATTCACAGTAAGGGTGATATTTGTTTGTCTCCTAATATTACTCTTTCATCTGTCCTTTATGTACCAAAATTTGCCTTTAACCTTTTATCTGTTAGCCGACTTGCAAAAAACCTCCAATGTGCAGTTATCAGATCACTGTCTGTTGCAGGACCTGTGTTCGAAGAGGATTTTTGGCAGGGGTTATGAGCGTGATGGGCTTTACTACTTTGGGGAACCACGAGGAACTGGTATTCAAGCTTCTGCCCTACGTACTTCTAGTACTTATGATGTTTCTTTTCGCACTTTTAGTTTGTGACATACACATTTGGGGCATATAAACTTTCAGTATCTATGTTTACTATTTCCTTCGTTAAATAAAGCATGTAAGGACCGTAAGTTTCAATGTAAAGTTTGTGAGCTTTCTAAACATACTAGAACTAGCTATATTTCTTATATGAGTCGTGCTCCTAGTATATTTGATCCTATTCATTCTGATGTTTGGGGCCCCTCCCCAGTTATTGCTTTTTCTGGGCATCGATATTATATGACATTTATTGATGATTATTCTCATTGTACATGGGTTTATTTATTGAAAAAGAAATCTGATGTGCTTCTTTTATTTACCCAGTTTCTTCAAATGATCAAAACCTAGTATAGCACTGTTGTCCATAATATTCATTCTGATAATGGACGTAAATATGTTTCGAATGAGTTCCGGACTAAACTTAATAAAAAAGGGATTTTACATCAACTCACTTACCCTTACACTCCTAAGCAAAATGGTGTGGCTGAACGTAAAAACCGTCATCTTATGTCTGTGGTCCGATGTCTTCTGAGTGGTATGCATGTGCCTAAATTCTATTAGCATATAGCTGTTCTTACAGCTGCTTTTCTGATTAATCGTACTCCCACTCAAGTTTTGGGTGGTAAGGCCCCACTTCAAATTCTCCAACCAGATTATACATTGTTTCACCTTCTATCTCGTGTTTTCGGTTGTACTTGTTTTGTTTATAACCGTAGTCCTTCTCGTCATAAACTTGAGTGTATTTTCTTGGGGTATTCTGCTATATCAAATGGCTATCGTTGTTATAATCCTGTGGCCAAACATATGTATCATTTTCTTGATGTGACATTTCATTGAAATGTTCCTTTTTATAGTACTAATTCTGTGGTACAGGATTCTCTCTCTTGTGGTCTGGGGAAGGAGATCTCTCCTATTGCCCGTCTTGTTCCTCTTTAAAAATCACACTATCCTAGAATCTCCTTCTCCATCCATGCAGGGTTCCCCTCTGCCTTTGCAGGTCTACTCTCGTCACCATTGCACTCAACCTCACCTGCCAGAATCATCTACAGAACCATGTCCAGGTAACTCTCCTTCTCCTATGGCCCCCACCATTCCTGAGCATATATCCCGTTATCCTACCCGTGATCGTCACCCTTCTAATTGGTGTGGTTTCTCTAGTAGCACTAACCACCTTATTTCCTAGTATGTCTCATATGATAGTCTTTTAGGTGCATATAAATCTTCCTGGGCAAGATTGGGACCGTTTCTATTCCTCGATCAGTGTCAAAGGCCCTTCATGATCCCAATTGGGTGTCAGCCATGACAACAGAAATGGATACTTTACAGCATAATAATACATGAGAACTTGTTGCTTTACCTGCTGAGGAGAAAACGGTTAGCTGCAAATGGGTCTTTACTGTGAAGTACTTAGCCGATGGTTCTATTGATCGGTATAAGGCTTGGTTGGTGGCAAAAGGCTTTACTAAGATTCTAAGCAAAGACTTTGGTGCTACCTTTGCTTCTATGGCAAAGTTGGCGTATGTGCGACAGTTTATCTCCTTATCTACTACCCATTCTTGGCCTCTGCATAACTTAGCTATCAAGAATGCATTTCTTAATGGAGACTTACTTGAGACTATATATATCCACCCCCTGGATTTCGGGCTGAGGGGGAGTATGCTGGGAAAGTCTGTCAGCTGTGGAAGTCTCTTTATGGTCTGAAGCAATCTCCTAGAGCTTGGTTTAGTTGTTTCAGCGATGTTATTCTATCCATGGGCTTTATGCGCTGCCACTCGATGGCATTTTAGACTAGGCATCCTAGTTTCCCTTATCTTAAAAAATTATTTCCTTCTTTGTTTA